GGAAGACAAAATATTATGTACAAAAAATGAAGCCCTAGAGCAAACAAAAACTACAAAAGCTATATAAATTACATACATATTTTGCACCTCAAACAAAATTCTGGCTCCTAAATCCAACTCCATTAATATCAAATTAGCATATACTATGTAGCAAGTTCATAATATTCACAAATTGTAGTCATATAAGCCGGAGCATCATATGTGCAATCGATTTTTCTTTGATATTATAGACCTTTAGCTTTTTCTAGTAGCTACAAATTCATAAATTACTTAAATGATATATCATGGCTTCTAATCCGATAGTATTAGCATAACTAAAATTTGCTATATGCGGAGAATACATATTACTAATTCTGAAGATAGTAAAAATACGATAAATTATTTATTTCAGAGCTCTATTGCCTTTTGAATTGTTGTATTGATTAGCATACTACTGATATAGAATAGTTTAAGTTCATAAAATATGATATACAAATTCGTAAAATTATTCGCAAATACTTTTGTAAATTTAAGCGGCTTAGGAACATAAAATTTGAAATAAATAATTCATCAAGACATTCATGACTGTGCACTCTAATCACACACACAAAAAGAAATGGTCATATTAAAATTATAATATATATATATATATATACTTTCTATATAAAACTGTCTAAAAAATTATTAGTAGAAGAACGAAATCGGCAAATATATGTACCTCCATCAAATTACTGCGTCGACGGAGAAAGCAACTAAAATAAAGAATTAGGTTTGGGAATTCAAGAGAAACCCAAGTTGGATGATCAAACTTTTCAGGAGTTCATATTTAGTAGTTTTTAATTTATAATGATACTTGATGACTTGAATGGATAAATGAAAAGTCTAGGAAACTGAAGTCTTTTCATCTTTCACTCTCTTAAATGTTTTCTCCTTTAATTGAGTACTGAAATGTTGAGTAACCTTTTTTAAAATGAAGGTACAATATCTGAAGAGTAATTTTATATAATGATTAATCTTCTGCAAGAGGTGTGAGATTCGGCACTCCAAAATATCTGTTTCACTTACCATATATATATATATATATATATGCTTCCTTAATAGAAGAGCCAACAAATAATAGTTATGGATAATGAATAAAATAACAATTATGAAACATCATAAAATGAAAGACGATGAAGAAGAGGATATATATCAGTTTGTAGATTAATATGATGAGATCAGTTTCCTTATAATTATTCGTAGGAAATTCATGAAGAGGTGAGAGAAAGAAGAGGAAAAGATGCATTTGTTTAAAATTTAATTTATTAATATATAGATTAATTAACGAATCATTGTGGGTTCTAGAGGGCAAAATGGTCACTTAATTTTCAAAAAATATTTTAGTAAAATAACTTTACCTAAAAGTTTTCATGCAACCAAAAAGTTGGTTTGAAGAATGGTGCTATAGAAAAAAAAAAAAAGGTAGTATCGTTGAATGACGATTATCGTTAACTCAAATAGAAGAAAAGGATTTCTATGTATTACGGGTTTGGACTTTTACCTAGGAAGCTACAGGTTTATCATCTCTTTTATTTCACCTTTTTTTTTTTTGTGCAAAATTCTGGATTTTAGGGGTAGGTTTATTACCACTTTTTGCTTCTATTATAATTGGAGTATCCTATCTTGCTGGTTTTCCGTTAACCTTAAAAGAGAGATAATAGAAGAAAATTTCAGATGAATCTTAAGCTTTATTATTTCTTAATCAACTTTGAGTTTAGTGATATTGTATTATCGATTCTATATTAATCATCTTAATAAAAATATGTTTGTATTAGATGGAAAAGTTATTTTTTCATATCACCATTCACAATCAACTATTTATTGTGATTAATTTAAAAAAAATGTTATCATAACCTTCAGAGGCGGATAGAATAACTTCTTTTTTTCATTTTAAAAAGCTTATTCTTTTTTGTAATATTTTTATTTTATAACTCAACCTCATTACTCTACAGTATTTATGTAATTTTTTAAAATTTTGATTCTATTATGGAATAAAAGCAATTTAGTAAAACATGAACAAGAAATAAAAGCAATTTAGTAAAACATGAACAAGAAATAGAGATAGAGAGAAGGAAGAGATTTTCTTCTTCAATTGTGTGTATTTTCCTATCTATTACAAGTCCTTTATATAGGCATGAAAAGTGAAGAAAATATGTCATGGAATATGTCATTGAACATAGAAAATATGTCATTGAATATGTCATTAACCATTTGAGAGAAAGATCATGGAGGAAGAGTAGACATCCACCATATTTTGATTTTTATC